GTAACCCTACTGAAGACTTTTTTAAAAGCATGACTATCTCTCCCCATGGACTGCGCTTCTTAAGAGCATACACTATATCTTACTATTTGGCACTCGGCACATAATAGACGGTTGAAGAGTGTTTGCTTGAGTGAATGAGTACAAAGATGGAGAAACTGTTCGAAAATGACTGAAAACATCAAAAGTGACTTACGATGTGGTACTCCTTGCACATGACAGTCTGCTTTAAAATATTGTGCTAATGTTATCATAAGATAGCGCTATAAAAAATAGGATGAAATTTTAACATCAGGTTTTTTCAGTGCTACCCACAGAGTCTTATTCTACAAATGAATGTCTGGCTGAACACATGCTTGATGCTCTCTATTCACTGTGAATGCAAACATGTAGCTCCATGATGCAGAGCCTATTGAATAAGATCTCTGTCAACTTGAAGATTTTTTTCTTCAAGTCATAAAGTCCTTAAGAAAAAAAATGCTTTCAAGTTTCATTTAACACAAAGCTGGCAATCTTTTCTGTGGGGAAACTAGCTCAGTCTAGCAGTGTAAATTATACTCAGAAGCCCTTGAATGATCCGAAAGCCATCACCTCAGCCAAGTCCTAAACCCAGGGCTTCTGAGTTCTGGGTGCTGTGCAAAGGTTTCTATAAAGTCTTAACCCTGATAACAGGCAATGGCTCACATTTGCATAGTACTTTATAGTCTCCAAAAGTTTTTACTAGGTACCTACTGCCTAAACCTTTATTTTGTGGCAAGCACTAAGGTAAACACTTTACATATATTTAGCAGGAAAAACATTGACCTTAACAGTCACCCCTCCCCAAGATTGCCTTTATGCTAAGAGAAAATGATGGGTGGGGATGCAAATGAAGAAGCTGATGGAGAGCTCAATCACTCCTTGTAAGAAAAGAGACAGAAAGACACTTGGTGGAAGGACCCTCAAACAGCAGAGGGTCCAAGAAAGACTTCAGCAAAAGGGTGTGAGGTAAGAAGAAAGCAGGGAGCCCCTGAAAGTATTAACAACTACTGTGGGAAAATGGAAGAAATTTTAAATGTGACAGGAGTTTCATGGTGTGGTGGGCAATGTAATCCTTTCAGGAAATCTAACAGTAAAAATGTGTAAGGAGTTTCAATAAGACAACACAAGTGAGGTATGTGAGGAGTTTGAATGCTAAAGCATGTCCAAGTCACATACTAGTACATGCCCTCTTTCATTTCTCTCTTTATGAGATTCATTCATCTAGACCTGGTATCAACAAACTACAGCCCATTGGCCAAATCTGGCCACCCTGGTTTTGCAAATAAAGTTTTGTCAAAACAGACACACCCATTCATCCTAAGGATTTATCATAGCTGCTTTCACACTCTAATAGCAGAGGTTGAGTAGTTGGACAGGACTGAGGCCCTCCGACTGAAAAGCTTATATTTACTGTGTAGTCCTTTGCAGAAAGTTTGCCAACTCTTGCTCTCAATTCCTAAATAAAATACAAAGAAGGATCAGTGTGAAATGAAAATATTTTATTGGTCAGGCTACTGGTGTTGGGGAAATTTAAAATATGCTTCACTGATTATAGTGAGGTTCAAATGTAAAAATCACTAATTAAAACATTAAAGAAATGTCAAGTATTGCTGATAATGGTTCACAACTGGCTCACAATTTGTAAATAATAAACACTACAGAAGCCTCAGGTACTGGTGGTGTATACATCACCTACCACAACATCATTGGACACAAAGTAACTGAACAAAATGCCCTGTAAAGGTTCTTGAAAAGACATTTGCTCTTTTTACTGGATTAATCAGTATATCTCTGTTGTCTTAAAAGTTCCTAACAAATCAATTTTTTTTAAAAAAGTTTTGTTTGCATTTACCTCTCTGAGCACTTTCCTTTCCATTTCCATGAAACCCACCAACTATAAAAGTTATTCACACGCAGGAATCTCACCAAGCTGTGGGAGAAATATGAGGAGGCAACAAAACAACTGGAAAGAAAGGTTTATGAAATGAAGCCATCACATGACTTAACCATGAGAAGACAAAAAGCATTTCAGTCTTTCAGTGAATCAAAGGTGCTCAAAAAAGTCCTTCTTTTTAAACTTTCATAGCTTAAATTGTGGGTGTGAGAAACAAGAAATACATCAATGGCATTTGAAGGCAAATTCATGAATCCTTTCAGGACAACTAGAATATATCTCAGCATAATGATCATCCATCATGACATGAGGTTCAGATGCTTAGTTCATTCTTTCAGTCCCTGGAAGCCTAGCTGCCTTTAATTCTACCATGATATATAATTCTGTTGCATAACAACGTCTTTAATATGCCCCTATAAAATATGATAGATCAGGTGAATGAGTGGCTGAGCAATTGATCCACATTTCTCTAAATGACATTTAAGTGCTTATTTATTAAAGTTTTAGGGTAGCTAGAAGAGATAATTATACCTTTCCACATGACCATCTATCTATCTTTCCTGTTGCCCATTTGCTCCTGAAAGACCCAACAGTCTCTTGGTTGATTTGTCATCGATGAAATCCATTTCAGTAAATTCCTTCCAAGTAGCAGGTAAAATGTTATGCACTGCGCTATTTTGGTCGAGAGCAGAGAATTTTCATCTCACAACTGATATAGACTTCGATTTGCTAGCCATCTAGAATTCATCACCGCAATTATAATTGCCCTGCTTTGTTTACTGAGCTTCGAAAAAAAGAATAAATTGAATACTATGGACTTGTCCTGAACCACTTTAATATAAGTTTGCTTTTAAATGGTATTCAGAGGGTATCCAGCATATCTTTGACCTAGGCATTAGAGATAAAAAATGTACAATATATTTATGATGAACCTGTATCTATAGTTACCAATGTTGATTCATAATCTTCTAATCTTATAATTATCTTTCTTCAGGGCATTTTTTCCAATGGAAGAGGAGAGGGAATATCATAAAAACTATGAATCATCTTTTAGTACAATGAATAATGGTTACCAAACATGGATGCCCATGAGAATCATCTGAGAACTATGAAAAATTCAGAATCCTAAAGTCCACTCGAACCAACCAAATCAAAATCTACGAGGGTTTGGATTCCAGTCATTTTTCTCTTTAACAAAGTGCCCAGTCCATCCTTTACATCCAGTTCAATGCCAGACTGGAAAATGCTTTAGGGGACAACTTGTTGAAACACACATATTATAAGAGCATATACAAATAAAATGATTACACTAATCATTTAAATATAGTTGATTAAGGGTAGGTGAGGAAAATGAGAGGGGCTGATGGGGGTAAAAAGGAAAGGAGGGAGGGAGGGCAGGGGGAAAGACAGGAGAGTGGAGGGGAGAGTTGGAGAGAGGAGGGGAGTATATAAAGGAAGAAAAGATAAGGACCTTGCTATCTACCAATAATAATAGTATGCCAAGAGATGAGAACTGTAATTAAGTGAATTCTCTGAGTCTGAGGGCCAAAGAAAGAAGAGGAGAGGTGGGGGGGATCAACATCCTAAGCATTTATCCCTTTGCATATGAATTTATGTTCAGCCTAAGCAATTTTAAATAAAGGTAAATAAATGTTAGTTCTTAGCAAGTCCAAATGGGGTGTGAGACCACCTAGGACAGTAAATTTCTTCAACCTTGACCACTGAATTCACTAGCAAGGCCAGGTAGTTGTCTCAAATTCCTTGCCCAGAAGCTTAGAGCTGGATCCCTATCTTTCATCCCTCTGTTTATCTGTGAATAAATATATACATTATTCTTGTTCTTTTAATACTGTAACCTCTTCAGAGCAGTTAAAAATTATGTTAAAAACTCATTAACTTTGACGAGATATTGATGATGCCAGCGGTTAATTACGAGCCAGCTGGTGTTATGGCAAGAATTAAAAAGTTAGGCACTGGAAGTTTGTTTAAAAAAAAAAAAAGCACACTGCATTCATTTGGAGGTTTATTGAGGGATTTTTGAAATAGCATCACTCACTGATGACCTTACAGCATAGGTCAAGGAGAGATGTGTGAACCAACAGATCAATTCGAATCCCTTTACTCCATGACAAAATCTTCCAGATTCTCCCTTGTTGAAAAAAATGAAAGGAAGGGCGATAAATTCCTATGCTTCGTGGTGTTAATTGATTGCAAGCTGGGGTCAGAAAGACATGTCTCCCCAAGGAGTACTCCTACACAATTTAGAGGCACTGTGGGGGCTCTAACGTGCCTAACATGCATTAAGTAGTGGTCACTGTCAAGTACCACGTAGCAAAATTTAGTATGCTCCTGGTTTGTGCTCACAAGGGAAGCACCAGAGTATTCAGGGGTCCTCATCTCCTCAAGAGTGAGGGTTTTTAATAATCCTGTCACCCAAAGAGGTCTTTCCTTCCATAGACAAAAGGGGACTATTTTTAAAAGAGAAAATAGATGGTAAGATACAGTCATGGTTGTTAATTTTTAAAGAAAAAAGAAAACAGAAAGGGAAAGTTTATCTGTTTCAAAAGATTTTCAACATGCAAAGAGTTTAAGTGAACAATATAGAATAAGCATTAGGGTGCTGATTTGAGGTTTCATCAAACCTCACTTAAGCAAGGAAGCTTAGGTGAAGTTACTGAAATTGTATCGGCCTCAGTATCTCGTCGGTAACATGACCATCATATTTGGACCTGCCTCAGCAGTCAACGAGGTGATACACATAGCACACTTAGTACCGTCAGCAGAGTGCAGGAATCACACAGTAACCGTTCATGACTTCCCAGGCAGGCAGTAACAGCTCAGGGACTGAAATCAAGGGGCTGAGGTTCCCCTTCATGGATTTGACACCTATTTCCAATGACACTGAGCAATTTAGGGGGCCTCCTCAAGTTTCAGTCTCCTCATCAATAAAATGGATAATGATAGTATCGACCGCCTAGCATTGTATTAGGATTAAATGAAATAACCTCTATGAAGCATTAGAATGGTGCATAGTGATTGCTCCCTAATACCAGTAGTAGTGCTACTAGTAGTAGCGCTACTAATAGTGCACTTGTGGAGGGGTTCGGAATGAGCATCCCCCCAAGAGGGGCCTCAATGGTATGCAGATTATCTTGACCTAAAGGCAACCGAGACCCTGCGGGCTCAAGAGAAACTTCTGCCCCCACCCTTAACTATCTAGAAGAATTTAAATTAGGGGTCTGGCCCATGATAAGCGTTATCATCAGAAACAGCCTTTTACCTACTGGCATGGCAGGGCAAACTACTAATTACTGAATATGAGCTCTCCCTGCAATTACCTTCTGAAGCCCCAAGCCACCTTCCCTCATCCCCAGCTCAGAATGTCATATATCTCTCATTTTTCCCTTCCTGCCTCTCAACTCCCCCATGTATGTGGGGTCCCCATACATATGTATGTCATTAAATTTTTTAAAATATATTCTTATTGAGTTCAGAGGGGAAGGGAGTGAGAGATAGATACATCAATGATGAGAGAGAATCACTGATCGGCGGCCTCCTGCACGACCTACACTGGGGATCAAGCCGGCAACCCAGGCCTGTGCCCTGACAGGGAATCAAACCATGACCTCCAGGTTCCTAGGTCAACGCTCAACCCTGAGCTACACCAGGCGAGCTGTATGCCATTAAATTGGGTCATTTTCTCTTGCTAATCTATTTGATTACTAGACCAGCCTAAAGAACCCTGAGGGTGAAGGAAAATTTCTTCCTCCCTCCTTGTTGCTGTATAAATAAACCCTCTGCTGATACTAACACACACAGCAGAGATCAAAACGCTTTGTGGAATTTTATAACACACAAATGAAAATGTGTGCAGATGAAAAGATGTAAAATCATCTTCTCCAAAGTCCTAAAAGGGGCCCAAGCAGAAAGTGAAGGGTTACTGTTAGTACCATGGCTCCTTCCTCTTCTGTGAGGTTGTTTCAGCAGTGATGTCTCTACCCTTCTCCCTCCCAAGCCTCACCTGGTGGGGGTGACGGGCAGCCCATGAGCTGTGAGTGCCTTTCCCACTAATTATCACTGTTCCCCCACCCCCCTTATTTGTGGCTTGTACTTCCCCCGGCCAGGGATGGCATGGTGTGCAGCTCTCTAGCTGAGCACCTAATGGTGGATTCAGCCATTATCATTTCTCACCCATCAGTGAATAATCATTATTGTTTACTCACTTCGCTTTTTATGAGGAACACCGTTAGGAAGATGGTTTTCTTCCCTTGTTCCCCATGCGGCTCTGTTTTATAGACCTTGCTCTCAACTTAGCACAGCTTTATTCTGTTTCCCAAAACTACTCATCACTGACTGATGTTCAACATTTTAAAAAAAATAAAGGTTTTCTTCTTCTTTTGCAAATCCAAATGTTCAACCCGAGCCTTACCGATCTTGACCTCCCTTGTTTCTGTGAAAACAACCCTTTGAAACTCATTTCAGAACATTTGCTTTTATTCCATACCTATCCATATGCCTTCTCTCTCCTAATGTCATTCATTTTGAGAAACTGACGGGAGATGGTTTGTGTGGGAAATGTCATGGAAACTGAAGCTTAGGATATTTCAAAGGCTAATTAGTTCAGAACAATGGGGTGAACACTTGACCCACTGATGACCCTCCAAAGTCCCAAATAATCAAATACTTTGAAGCACAAACAATCTGTACCTACACGCAAAAATAAATTGGTTGGGATACCATCCTAAATTCTTCCCAATTCTACTCTCACAGCTAATTTTCTATACTTTCTGATCGTTTTCACTTTGAGCACTTATTCCTTTTATAATCAGGGGGAAAAACCCTTTTAACAACTTTTTATTGATAAAATTCTAAAATGTAGGCAGATGATCTCACCAAACCAATGTTTTCCTCTTCCCTCTTTTTCTAGAGATATTGGGGAGTAATTCCTAACTGCAGCAACGCCTGGCTGTGTTACGGGCAGGATTTCAGAAGGTTTACAATATAGTCTTCCTGCCAAGCATTCGATATCACATTTTTAGCTTACTGTTTGGGGTCTCATGTTTTTGCAATCCAACTCTTGACTCATTGTATGTGTGTACGCATACTTTGTTCCAGACTGTCTGTCAGCGGAACACTTCTTTCTAAATGAAGAAAAGTGTTTCTGGTGAATGCCAAGACTATACGAGGAATCGTAGTGCGCAGTTGCTACTTCTTTGTTTCCTGCTGGTTAATGGCTTTAAAGACAAAAATCAAGGGTGAGTGCGCCACGAAGAAAATCTTCCATAGGGCACGCCCCACTTTGCCTTTCGAATGATCACAAACTGCATTTTG